GTCAAGACAATTGTCCCTGCTATTATGCAAGCAGCTGGGCTAAGGTGTTTCCTAGGCGTTACTGTTTGATTGCAAAGGAGAGTCAAGGAGAGTATCGAACTAATGCATCGTTTCACAAATCGCTTCCTGGCACACTGGACCACTAGCCACTTCTCTAATCCGTCCATTTGTGCAATATAGCAGTAAGAAGCAAAACTAAGTCTAAATCTAAGGAAAAAAGAAAATGGAGATATTTTAATAGGCTAGCTCTTACCGTTCATGCGTTTGTCTTGATTTGACAGAATTGCTGCGATCTCGCGGAAGAACATCATCGTTTTCTCCATGGTGGTTCGGAAACAAGCATCCCAAAGGGCTCGGCGATCCTTCACAAGAGCCACCAGAATACCGCGGAGAGGATCATTCCACTGCGGACGTTCCTGAAACTCAAAAACAATCGAAAAACAGAGCCAGACATATGGTCCATGCTGGAACGCGGATGCGGATACGGGTTTACCCTGCCGCACAGATACAGATACAAAGGTAACCCTGCTCCACAAATGCAGCAGATACAGGACTTAACCTACTTAACAAATGCACGTTAAAGGCTAAGCTTGGTTCACAGATTACAGGGCTGAATCCTGCTTCACAGATGCAGATACAGGGTCAGCCCTCCGGTAATCGTCCGTACCTCATGTGATTCCATTGGCTTTTTCGCGCAATCAAGCTTTTTCACTGGACTTTTAGTAGACATTCGATAGCTTTAATAATGGCAATTCTAACGTATGCTAACTTTCTCGTTAGGTTTTCAAAGTGCGCAGTAAGAGCTAAGGGAAAAAAACGTTAGGCCCTCGAGGTAGTTTAGCTCGAATCAAAACTTCACAGCGTACTTGTTGGCACCTAAGTAGTAAGGTCTAGGTTTTAAGGATTATTACATTGTCACGAAAAGACGGAATACCACCGTAGAGACCTCTACAAAGACATTTTTTCTAAAAAAAAAAACGCCCACACCTTTTGAGAGTTTGCATTTTTATAAGGGAAAGCTGACTGCGTGGTAAACAAGTGCTTTTTGCTTCTACATAAGAGTTTTCAGCGCAGAAAAAAGACATAAGAGAATGTATAGCAAAATGTAGAGCACTTAAATCCGGGGATTTCTCTAAACGGAAAAAACGCCATCTGAATAACAAAAATCGCGCGTCGCTCTTCTAAATCACGTTGATCAGGGGGTCAACTGACGTCCCTCGAGGGGATTCAAAAAAGGAATATTTCGCCTATAAGAAGGTAAAGATCTAAGTTCTGGCTCAGAGTTAACAATTATACTGAGAGTGACACTCATTATTTCTCGCGCATTTCAATGAACGATTGATTTCCCAGTTTATTTCAACGATTATTTATGAAAGCAACAAGAATTCAATTGGAACAAATGGACACTAGTGGAAAATTGTGGTGCCATCACCTTTCAAAAACTTTTCTTAACAATTTTCATTACAAGACGCTTGCCAAAACTATCTATTCGTCAAGATCTCAAAGCATATGCCTTCGGAAATTGCTGCGCATGCTTGTTCCTTGAGAAACTTTTCTATACCGCTGTAGCATCTAAATTAATGTTTCATGTGCTACGCCTTTTATCGGGTCGTTCCATAAGTTTAGGCACAAAAGCAATGAACACCATATTTCTTGAGCATAAGTAAATTAAAGTGCATGATTATGGCATCCTTCAATTGCGCATTTTTTTTGCGAACATTTTGCTATACAACTTACCCATATTTAGTTCAAGATAGAGCTATCGTGGGACCAAATTCGTTTGCTACTCATGCACGAATGGCGCGTGAGGGAAAATGTTAGTGAAGCGGAGCGCAAGATTAATGGAGCTCAGGGCGATGATACGGTTGCAGAAAGGACGACTAGGATGTGTGAGGCGAAGCTTAAAGCTGGAAAGAACGGTCTGGAGGATCGGTCGCGCTCGGGCCGTCAACAGGAAGCTCGATTAATCCTGCGCACCGCTTCACTAGCATTTTCCCCTACGCACCATTCGTGCACGAGCAGCAATCGAACTTGTTCCCACGACGGTTTTATCTCGAGGTAATTATAGGTAAGTTGTATAGCAAAATGTTCGCAAGAAAGTGAGCAATTGAGCGATACCAAAACCACCGTAAATCTATTTACTTTCGATTAATAAATTTGATGTTTATTGCTCTCGTGCCAAAAACTTATGAGATAACTTGACATAATCATCACGCTTATATTTCGCTCCACAGCGCTTTCTGTCTAAATTATTAACGAATTTCGAATAGCATAAACTTCGATGAGTTCAAAAATATACAATGCTTTTCGTAAAGCCTTCTGACAACCCTGTAGCATTCATAATAAGATTGTGTTTCCCACGCGCCGCGCGCTTTTATTGTTATCACACCTATGCTTCACTCGACAAACCTTTTCTTCAGGTCTACTCTTAATCCGAAATCATTTTATTTGACCGCCTATTGCGGTGTTATGATGTTTCTATTAACCCAATGATGTAGACTGGAGTGCAAAAACGTTTGCGTCCGCCGGGAGTTGAACCCAGATCCTACTCTTTCCGGGAGCATGTGCTAAACCATTGCACCACCGACGCTCGTTTTGCACTCCACTCTTTCTAAAAGATTTGAAAGAGTAAGATCTGGGTTCAAATCCCGGCTGACGCAAACGTTCTTGCACACCACTCTACATCATTGGGTCTGCTCTCAATCATAAAAAAGCGTAAATCCGAGGAATTTCAAAAACAGACTTGATCTTAGGAAGCATCGTGATTTCTTATTTGAAGGAATCAATGAAAAAATACTTTAAAAATCCGACAAATGGTGAATACAACTTACGAGGTTCGAGGCCTCCTCGACGGAAAGTCGTTTTGCACACGCGAGGAGCCATATGAGGCGTTCAAAATCTGGCGTTCAATTCCAAATGCTTCTATGTATTCGGAGAGATTGGAAAGCACAGGAAAGCATTCCAGGGACTACAGAAAGTCCAAAGAGAGCGAGTAGGCTAAAAGAAACAACAAAATTAAGAAAAACCACGCCTCGATGGTCCCTATGACCAGAAGAAGGTTAGGGCCTACCCACCGCTGATGAAGCGAAGCCAAGCCAAGCCAAACGAAACACGAGCCTCAACGACAATAGAATTACTTCGAAGGTGCGTACCTAAAGAAAGACATAGAGAAGACACTAAGGGACCATCGAGATCGGGGACCACGAAAAAAGTCAGCGAAACACGTGATACGAGGGAAGAGGGGGAAAAGCCGCCTGACCAAAACCGTCCAAGTGAAGCAAAGAAACCCCAAGACGACACCCCCGGACGATCCGAGCGAAGAGCCTGTCAACATCGATCGATTGAAGGGGTGTGGCCCCGCGACGACCACGCCCACCTGTCGCTGCCTGGCCCCGCCCCTCGCGAGGGAAGAGTGGATGGAAAGCGGAGGCGCATTTACAGAGACACGGCACTCGCAGTCTCGTCCCGCCCCCATGCCGCCACGCCCACAATCGAATCGGGACGAAGACGACGTCCGGGCGTCTTATTGGTTGGTCGGCAGGCAGGCTTCGACGGGAGCCGTTTTTTCCCACGCAAGCATTCTACACGTTCCTTCAGACGACCAGTCACTCCTGGTGTCGAGGACAATCTGTCTGAGCTTGTGCAGATCAAATGATACTATGAGGATGGCGTGGAGTAATGCTTGTGCACAAATAGGTCTGAATCTGTTGAAAAAGGGAAAAACATTAGAAAGCCCCTGAATATTTCCACTGAGGCAGCAGGAAGTTTGTACGACGATCTCCAGCGATGTGTAGACTCAAAGCGTCAAGAACGCTCCTGCGCATCTCTTTCAGAGTTCTGGTTCCCAGGAATGCTGAGTAATACGCAGAACTTTGGACCTCGGGCGCGGGTTGCAGCCAAGATCTCACCCCTTCGGGGGTTGGGGTGGGGGGGAGGGGGGGGGGAGGGGAGGGGAGGGGGAAAGGGGGTGGTAGTGATAGCAAAGCGTGATAAAAAAGTTAGGAGCCACGGTAGCATAACGCTTGGTACGCGGCCCTGGAAAGGGTTAGAGGAAGGTTCTAGTCCCGCTCAAGCTTCAAAGTTTTAATTATCTCTCAGTATCTGTGAATACATGGTTACAGCATCATAAGACTGCTGTAAAAACGGCAAAATAAAGGGAATTTTTCTAGATTAGTTCGGGTTCTCATCAATTCTCTACGTCATCCCTACATCCGTGGTGCTTGAAAATGCCAAGAAGCGGTCAGATTGCTTGCAATTCGACTTATATCGACTTGTTCAGAAGTTTTTCTCCGGTGGAACCGAAACTAAGATCTATTCGTTTGTTTTTTTTTTCGTAAGAAATGCCGCTAATGTAAGTGAAAGAAAATGGATCCAAGAGATCTACAGCGGCTGTGGTAGCTACGTGCGAAACAGTTTGATGCTAGATAGAACCAAAATGTTTTGTGAAAGATCTAGTCTTTTACAGAGAAGAGATGATTTTGCTCTGGTGCCACGGCAAAACGCTTAGAAAACGACTTGATGAATGATTAGATGAAATTTGCATACGCAAATGAAATATGCTTTCCTGTTAATTATGAAAACTTCGTTTACTTCAGAATTTTCGCAGTATTAACCTTTACATAAGCAATTTACCCAATGATGCAGAGTGATGTGCAAAACATTTACGTCGGGCGAGACTTGAACCCGCATTTCACCCAATCCAGAGGCGCGTGCTCTAGCCCAACACCGCCGACGCCTGTTTTGACACCACTCTTTCTTCGCTACAACGCATCTATCACATCACTGTACATCAATAGATATATTAGTAACATCATACCACCGCTAGAAGCGGTAAGTAAAAAAGAATGTAATCATCTAATACCCAATATCTGTTATGGCCGGAGTCAATGTCGACAGTGTCTACCTGGGCCAAACCGTTAATGTCTACCTGGGCCGAACCGTTGACGGTTGGTTGCTGACAAATAGATGCGTTTTAGCATGGAAAGAGTAATGACAAAACGGGTGCCGGTGGTGCAAAAGGGAGAGCACGCGCTCCTGGATTGGGCGTAATGCGGGTTCAAGTCCCGGTGATTTGAACCAATTGCCACAGTCGTACTGGTTGCGTTGATTTTGTAATTCTAAACTGCGACTTGAGTGAGAGTTGTGTGTTTGAATCCAAAATTTCCTATGTTTCTACAGTTTCTTCGCAGTGTTACAACGTTCCAAATATACCTAGGAGAATTGAATTGTGAGCAAAAATCCGACTACATACGAGAATTGAACCTGCGTTTCGGCCATAACGGAGGCGCGTGCTACCACTACACCACAGGGGCCACCGCTAACTCACCACTCATTCTTCAATATCTCTCTATCATAGCTATCAGCTATCAACCTTTGACAAGTTTAGTCGGGTGAGCAATCTCGTTCAATTTTCTTAGGCATATTTGAAACATCATAACACTGCTAAAAGTCAGTAAAAATCAAAAAATCTTGGATTTGTATGAATACTTTGGCTGTCAGCTCGATTGGATTCATAGAGCGTTATTGCTTACCCGACGAAACCTGTTGAAGGTTGGTGGTTGATAGCTATGATAAAGAGATATTGAAAAATGAGTGGTGGGTAGCAGCTGAGCTCGATGGTGTAGTTCTTGCACGCGCCTCCGGTATGGATGTAACGCAGGTTCAACTCCCTCTGAGGTCGAATTTTTGCTCGACATTCAATTCTCATGTGTGTTCAAATCCCTGTTAACATCGCTGTGCACGGCTCTACGAACAACGACTAAGATGGCTGTTGGTTTTCCTGCATAAAGGTTCACCCTAGTCATAGAGACACTTGCCTCATGTGGGTCTCGCCCACATTACATTAGCGTATTACTCTTTGATCTGCAAAGAACTATTATTTTCTCGTGTCTAGTGAGATCCTTGATAGGTGTACGATTGTTATACTTTGACGAGGTGGATGCTGATAAGGTTCACAAGTACTCGCTGCGATCACAGAGACAACCTGAATATCAATTTATATCATGAGTTTATTCAGCTTTGATTCCCCTCTTTTGTGATGAGATCTATGATCACTTCCGCCATAAAGTCTCCGTGGTTCTACTGATTATCCGGATATTCAACAATTTGAATAATATTAGCAAGGATTATGGAAGAATCTATTAGTTTATATTAGTGTTTCGATTCCTTGTGCCGTCTTTATGTTGATACAGAGCTGAGTGTTAGATCAGTTTTTTTGATCACTCTTTGTTGAAAAGAGGGTTCACGTTCTACTTATTGCCTATTGAATAATTAATGGCAAGGCACAATATGAAATACCATCAATGGCCTGCCGTGAAAAGTGAATAGGGCTAAAAATAAGTTCAGCGTTGTGATTTCGATCACAGCTTCAGCTTAATTTGGGTCAGTGACAATTTATACTCCCCGTGATCGCTGATAAAACCGAAAAGGTCAATAGATGGTTGAGGTAGTGAAAAAAACAAATAAATCCCGTCATGAGCTCCGAAATAATTAAGCCCTCTCCCTTTCCTGAGTCGGCAAATTGTTACCAAAATTGTCTGAGAGAATAAAAATCTTGACTTGATAGGTCAAGAGGTCTCCAGAAGTCATTGCGTATGCCACATATGTATTCTTCTATTTTACCACGCTTTATTAATTCGTATAGATGGCGCATTGCTCAGCGATTGACCATCGCCGTACATTTTCACGCTTTATTTCTGGATAGTCCATGTTTTAATGAAGCTAAGAAGAAACGGTAGCACCGATTTACTTTCGCTTTAGTACTGTTGCCAATGGGTGAGAACAGAACAGTACTCAATCGATAATTTGACAGATTCGAACAAAATGTATTTTAGAATTAGCTAAGCGCAAACCATATCAATAGTCTCAGCTTGCACTAGGCCCTCCGTTGGAGATAGGTATAGTTGAGCAAATAATCTGTGTCACTTCATTCGATAGATTTGAGTTGCAAAGCGCTGACCTTGGCCTGCGGCTAACGACGACTCACCGTTATTAAGATCTTCATTCATCAGGATTACTCGCAACTTTACCACTGCTATTTTGTGATTAGAAAAGGTTGTCAGCGACTTTTTTAGAGCCTAATTTCTCTACGGAAATATGGGACGGCGAACCAAGCTACTTACGAGATTGCTATTGGTCTTTACGTTTCATTGAGTTACTCAAAAATCATCTAGACAGCAGCTAGTAATGCGAACGTCTTCAAGATCTATTTGATAAATTTTCAAATTCCGAAACTATTTGCTAGTTAGAACGAGGAGGGAATGCCAGAAAAATTGATATATCTGAAGCAAACCGCTCTGAATCAGCCCAAAGAATCGCCTTCATTATAAACCTCAAATCTGTCACGTTAGAATAGAGAACTACGAAAAGTGTCTAAAATCTAAGGGCAAAAACTATCAGAATCGATAGAATTATAACGACGAGCTAAGAATCTCTTGACACGAAACCCATTCGCTCGGTGAAGACGCCCGTAATGATGTTGTAAATAATGATAATTGAGTTCGACATCGCTTGAGTTATTGAGACAAAATAGCACTGTCATCGGAACGTGGAAAGAGAAATTCTCGTAGCCGGAAACAATAAAAGTATTAGTGAAGGGGGAGTTCACGTCATTGCGATAATTTCCATAAAAATTAGTGCTGATCAATGGGGACTTCCCAATTATTGTCATTAGAACCATAATGTTCAACGACAAGATAAATGAATTCACGTTTTTGCTTTCTAAAGGAGTTCTACAGAACGGACCAAATTAGTGAAGATGTTATTGATATGTTCAATGGCAAGATTTCCTGGAATGCCTGAAGCATTCGTAATATAACTTCATAAGGATAGTCGTTGATCACAGAGGTGAGCAAAGTAACACTGTCTAGAATTATTAGTCAACCAACAGACTATTTAACATGGACTAATTAGATTCTTATATAAGCCTTCTTTGCATGTTGTATGGTTTCTAGCACTTCTACCCGTTCTTTCCTCCTTTTATCAATGATCCATGGAGGTAATTGGGATTCGATCTTGGTTTGAGTTCGCGTTCTTAAATCTCATTTTTATTCGTAATTAGGACACTGATTACTGGTCGAGATGAACACTAGAGATTGCCTAGCGGGAGTGTTCTCGTGGTGTTAGCACAAACAAGTGATTTTTTGTGGAATGAGTAGACTTTCGATGGCTTACACCTTGAGGTTTTCAATGACGCTAGCAATTGCCATGATGGTAGGCAATTTTGCTGATTGATAGCTGTAGGAGCATGCATCAATCCAAGTCATTTTAGATCAGGGTTCTTACCAAAAATTACCACATACCTAATTTAAATCGGGGTTCTTACCGAAAAAACCACATACCTTACTTCACTCTGGAGAAATGTGGTTTTCTAAACCACAATTTCATGAATCATTTCATGGTCTTTTTTCACATGTCCAAAATCATCCACGCCATTTAGATCTGGAGTAGTTCCTATCACTTTCTAACTATCAAGATATTGTGCAGATAGAAAGGCAAAAACAACAGTGATCGATATTTTTTTGAACAGATAACTGAATATACGTACGTGCGCTCCTAAGCGTGAAGCCCTGAGTCGCCGGATCATTCTTCAAACGGATCGTTTCCTACCTGAATTTTATTTTGCCGCGCAGAACTTTTTGATTCACTTTCAATAATTACTTGGTAACTTATGGGCGCAGAACAGCATGGAAGGCAATGAACCAGACAAGTTTTTTTGTAACTCAATAGTCTACGAAGAACGCTTTTTCGGGCGAGTTCATTGCTTGGTAATTTGAGCCTTCTTCTGCAGCTCTACAATCCCAAACCCACAAGCTGTCCAATTATAAAAGATTTGTTGTTTGTTAACGAAAAACCAGCATGCTTATAAAAGTTGAAGATTACGAGTCGCCCCAACCAAACGTCACTTCTTTCCTATGCAGCTCTTAAGACCTGAGCGACTCCACCAATTTATTAGTATTCTTTGAACGCGATTTTACATGGACCGGAATCACTTTTTGTAATGAACGATAATTAGTAAACGCACGACCAACTAGTTTTTATGAGATCATCGTCCTATTGAACGGAGTAATTTTTTTCTTTCGTTCCAAAGAAAGCCCATAACTCATAGCTGGTAATTTTCAGAAAAAATCTTCAATAATGTGGAGTGCTGTGCAAAAACATTTGCGTCATCAGGGATTCAAACCCAGATCTCACTTTTTCCCGGAGCCTGCGCTGAACCGTTGCACCACCAACGCCCGTTTTGCACACACGCTTTTTACGCTACAACGGACTGATAACGCGTAGTAGCGTAGAAAAGAGTGGAGTGCAAAGCGAGCGCCGATGGTGCAAGGATTCAGCACACGATCTCGGAAAGAGTGAGATCTGGGTTCGAATCCCGGATGACGCGAATGTTTTTGCACAGCACTCCACATTATTGGGTATATCATAACACCATACCACCGCAAGTGGCGGCCAGATAAATGAATTTCGATTGATTATTGAAACTTTCTTCATCAAAATAATTTTCAACACCCTCTTCACAATTCGTTTTTTACATGATTGGACATCATAAATCATGCTGTACAGAATGCAGCGCTTTTTCTACCGTTCCCCTATGTGTAACTACACGAACATTTTCGGGTTGAAGGGCTCAGCCGTAACAACCCCAATTTGAAAAGATATCAGATGCTGGTGCGAGGTTCGATCAAAAATGACCATGCGGGAAACAAATGAAATAGTTATGAGCACTATTCCCGCTTCTTTGAAACCCATTAACTGGCCAAATATAAATATGGAAAAGTCTCGAACAGCGGCTTTGCTTCCAATCCATTCAGTGATATACAGAACGTGGAGTTAGTGCCACGAATATTCATAAAACTTCTCGCCGGCAACACTCACGCTATCATGCTTGTACTAATTTTACAGTATAGAAAAGAGTTTCGGGTTAATCTCCAGCACAGGGAATTACTAATTCGAAGTAGAGTGCTCAATTTCGTAAGAGTTTGCTACGCGGGACTTTCAACGTGGCTACGAAGAACATTTCACGTTTGGATTACTGTTTATAGTATTAGGTCGCGAAAAAAATTCATTGGCATCCGCTA